ATAATCAGAGATTGTATGCATGAACCAAGTGTGATGTGTGTGTGTGTGTACGTCGAGATGAATAATTTCATTTTGAATCGAAAAGCTCTTGAATAAGTGGATTCATGCAAGCGTTCATGTGTCGAATTTGTCTTGATAAATTTGAGTGAATTGATGAGGAGTTATTAAATTCACTTGGTGTTGTTTTCTTGTATCTTCCCATTGTTACTTACGACTGCGATCGATCAATCTCTTATTGGCATCTGTTCATCCTGTGCGGACTACCTCGATATTGTCTCAGGTCACAAGCTTTATAAACAATGATGAATAGTGGACGGAACGCGCGTCCCGGATTCTACTGCTAGTCACTATCCACCTCCCCTTGGTAGAGTTAGTTTTAAAAAAGAGGATATTAACTGTTTTTCGTCTGTGCCACTGAGTATCATGTACAAGATATGAATGTGTCGTTTCTTCACAGAGTATATCAATAACCGAATTGAATGAAGATAATTATGAATAGGAGATTCTGTGTTAGTCTAAATGTTGAGGAGGAGCAACGCGAAATCCAAGTCAAAATAGGTCTGATTGTATCGAAGTTACGCCATTTAAGTCAAAATGGTTCTGAGTGAGACATCATCATGAGTACTTGTGTGCCTGATAGTGAGTGTGAAATATGTGAAATTTATAATATGAAGGAATTCTATTCTTTTCACACACCCTTAACACACATACGTATTCTATTTCACATCTACTCCACATCACAAATTTCGTACTTGTCACACTCACTATCATCTACACAAATACTCACTAAATATTCTACTTTGTTCTCCTTTACCAATTAGACTAACTCGGAATCTCTTATTCAAAATTGTATCCATTCAGTTATTGATCGGTTATTGATCTAGTCTGTGAAGAAGAGACTTTCAAAATTAGTCGTGAATAGTCAAAATTCTAATATCACATCACTATACGAGGAAGAGATGTCCTATTAACTATCTACTGTGATACTGATCGCTTAATTATTTAATGTATCAGTTAGGTCTGATTGAGACTGTAGCATTCCCTGTGTACTTTCATTACTCTTCGTCTTTTATTCCTTTCCTGCGAGAACAGATCCTGCAACAGGATCTGTACTTCTCATTTGAATGCTTTTTATGCTGAAAGGCACTCACGTGATGTTGCATTACTCGATGCTGATTGAGGACCACATTTTCAAACAATACTCTATCTGTTAAAGTTTGATTGATCACTGGGTACTGACCAATATTTTGTATGTCTTTCATATCCTTCTTATTTATGATCGAATTCTATCGATCGAATTTTAATATGGACTCGATATAGCGTGCATTGTGTTAAGATGTAATTTGGTGGTTGGAGATAGTCGATAGGATGTTCCAGTTGGCCTAGGTTTCATGTTATTTGGCGACAAAGTAGATACTTCGAATGACTAGTGGTTGTTTGATATAGGCAAACATGTGAGTGATGACATGCAATGATGTCCAAACTGAACGAATAGTACTGGTATTTGCGTGAGATGATTTTGTTTGGTAAATTTTGGAATCTAGTCAATGAAGAGGATACAAGAAGAACGGCTGTTCTTTGTATTTGTTCCGCTTTTTGAATACAATCGAGTAGATAAACAATGAAGATAGAATAACTTCTTGCACAACAATTCAGTATTGAGGAGTGATCGATATCGGGACTAGTAATTTCACGGTTCCTAACGAGTCTTGTGAATTTAGGTGTAACATGAAACATAACAAATAGCTCGACAAAACGTTACCATGTATTTGATTTAATGGTTGAAGATATTCATGTTTACTGTTGTTCGTGTGTATGGCTGACACGTTAAATGGTTGAGAGTCGAATTTACTTACACCTTCCAATCCCGGTCACATGACTTCACCATCGGAAATGTCACAAATACGTTATTCAGTAAACAATTGGCTATTGATATATTTAAATAATCCAGTAAGTATAAAGTGATATCATGCAACCTCCTAGTTCATAATACTGACTGAGTGCTCTCGATCATGCTCCGAATAGACTATTCTCTGTTATGTGTCTCAACTACTTGATAAGAGTTCGATATTGAACTGATTCACTTATATCACTCTATTATTTTCCATTCAGATATTACCTTGTTGTATTCTTGGTTTAAAAACTCAAGTTCTACATTAATGATCTCCACAATTATTGTTCACAATATTGTTTTACTCCCAAATATTTAAATGAACTTCACTTGATGATATATTTGAACAAGTTGTCAACTGTGAATCGTAGCAGTTGAATCAGATTTCTATGTCACTCACACTCACGATTCATCCATTTTACTAATCCAGAGTGTTGATTGATTTAGTACAATCATATTGATCAATGATATGAATATTTCACTTGAAATATGTGACCTTGACTGATTGTTTGTTTTCACTTTGTGGTTTATTTTAGCAATAGACTAATGATAAAACTGAACAAATCGGATTCATCAATAATGTTGTAGACTAGAAATATTCACAGATATTCTATGCTGAGTTAGTAAACTGTCAAGGTATTTCTATATCATTAACATATTTGTGTATGTTGATTGAGGTTAACTATCGTGTTCAATGATCACCAAATTACGCTTTCATCTCTCATTTCACGATGACTGAACATTTAATGTGTGTTCTTCAAATACGCATGATCACTGGATAGAACAACTATTCAATACAAACCTGAATACGATCATTTGAACAACTGATGAATACAGTGATTATCCATATTCGAATGGAATAATCTTGTGTTTAATCTTAGTAGTTGAGACCGTGAGTCAATCGTAGCTAGATCACGATGGAAAACGTAGAAGCACTGGACGGCTTTTTCGGTCGGCTGTGGGAGTCCTCAGCAGTGTGCATGTGCCATCCCAAATCTCGAGATTCTAATCCAGGACGTATCGATCTTGTGCGTGATCGCTTAGCACCTAGATCACTGAGCCTTCCAGGTTTTCCATGGTGGTCTAGCTTCGATTCACTCATGATCTCAACTATTGGGTTTACTATAATATCCAGAAAAGCCCGTTCTGATATTAATCTTGTTTGTGGTTTATTCTTGAAGCTATATGACATGTCGCCAGTCACTAACAATCGAATGGATTTCGTGAGACGATTTTGAACAGTAAAGAAATATGGCAGTATGGAATCTCCTTCAGTCATGCATCTGTTCAATGTTTCGATTTCAGGTTTACGAGGTTCATTGGAGATTGCCACCCAACCATATCAGTTTTTCTTGTGAGCAACAAAATACAGTGAGAATCAACATGATTCCGATTTTCATTGAACAGAGTAGAAGTGGCTTCTACAACTAACTCGACTCACCAAATTTGTATAACGAAGCAACAGTAGTGTGAATGAGCTGAGGAGACACAAGGTGGAAATGGACTAACCACTCATATAAATTGTATGCACCCACATATCGACAATCCATGGATCATTAAACACGATTTATTAGTAATATGGTTCACAAACCATATCTTCTTACACAGTCAGTTGGATTTGTCTATCGAAATGAATTAATGAAATGTTGAGTATGTGTATTGGTGAGTGAGTCAACATGTGTATTTGGTGTGAAATTTGACAACGTGATGTGATGCGATGTGCTGTCGTTGGAATGAATGTACAATGGAAGTGGTTCGGTTGATTGGAGAAAGCATTATTTTGTTGGATAACTAAACGACAATCAATCATATCAGCGCAGTGAATCATAGATTAGAATATCTTGTTCGCGTTCATGTTATAGATAAATTTGTCATATTATAACATAATTTTCATTCAGAAATATTATTATGCTTCTGATTTCTTTCTGACTGCAATTTTCGTTCACCATGCCAGACTGATTTCTACCGGACACATGCATTTCATGCTGCAATGATATCATAAGTGGTTATAAACTTCATAATAGTCATGCTTGCTTTGAAGTAGACTGTTAGAGAATATTGGAGTAAGGTTTGAGGGTAAATTTATTTCTGGAAATTGTGTGATAAACCATATTATGATGCCTAAACGATTGTTGTCTTTGGTCTTGAAACAATATCATGTTTCTATTTTTAGGTAAGTATTATTAGCCCTTAGTTTTTTTGGTTTATAGGCTCAGTTATCTATAGTCAGGTCATTCTAATCCTAATACATTTTAATAGATGGTTTACCGAAATGTTTGATATTCACGATCGTCAAAACAAGGTAGATGAGTTTTAAACTCAACAAATCCTTCAATAAAATCTAAGACTGGTATGGGACTCCTCAGAAGTGTGCATCAACGACCCTGGCAACCGGCAACCGAACGCAGGAATTTCAGTCTTACTCTCGAATGCTTAACGTCTAGACCACTGAGCCGGGACCCAATAGTGTACAAGAAACCATCCTATCTTATTCGTAGGTTCCATGGTGTTATTCACTTGTAGTTTCTTGTGAATTCATGATAGAGATGTTTTTTGAGCTCAATTGCAGTAGTTACAGATTTGTTAAATATAAAAATTTAACTTATTAGTGAAATCTCAAAAGCATTTACTAATACGTGTAATTAAACTTATATTAATTTAGTCACAATTAGTTTCTTTATGACTATCCACTGATGAGATTATGTGTGCTACATTTCAACATATACTTGAAAACCTCATTTCATAATTAGAATATACATAGAAAAAATGTTCACAATGCACTAATTCTTCTATGTTCTCAACATGGTTACACAATTAAAGTAAAGCTTAAGAATTAGCATAGAACATAATGGTTCCCTTTTTGCTTGTTGATAAACGGTTGTTAAAATTAAACACAGTTGTCGGCTTTCATTTAGATTGTCGTATGTCGCAATAATTTTTTTTAATGTTATCATTTCAGGATGACTTTGTCTTTCCAGATATACAGACAAGCTGAACGCCATTAATACTTCACGAGTTGAGGTTTGTAAGAAATTTATGTTTCATGAACTTCCGTTTCATGAGTATCTCAATCGAGTTATTGGACTTTTTAATAGAATTAAGAAGTTATGTTGCTTTCATTATTATTAATATATAGCAAATATATGTTCGTTTAAGTACAGTTCACATTACATTGCTTGAAATGTGGAAGTAGCAAATCTTAATCTTTCTGTTCTATAAAACATAGTACATCATAATGTTTCACTTTGTTTTCTTTACCCTTGTAAGGAAGAAGTGCAAATTTTTGTGAACAGTTAACTTTACCAATACACAATTCATCTTGTACCATAGCACGAGCAATATATAAAGGTTCACTTGTGTTAGTTATACCAGCAAGCAATGCACCAGCTGGAACTCTACCGGAAGATGCTGGAACCCACTGGTGTCTTATACAATTAAGAAAATAAGAAAAATATGAGGAGATTAGTTGAGATAAACATTTTATTAATATGTAGTTTAAAACAAATTATAAAGTATGTAAATAATATTTCATATAAGTTACACATGCTGAAGAGATTATTTTAAATTCTACATTGATGTGAACTAGTCTATATTCTTAAATTAAGTTGTTGATTAGAATCAGAAAGGGAATTTGTGGAGATTGTAGTAATTTTAGTAATTGAGATCATGACAAAACGGCCGTCTAGTGCTTCCAGGTTTTCCATAGTGGTCTAGCTTCAATTGACTCATGATCTCAATTGAGTTGTTTATGTAGTTATAGACAGTTTTATTCACTATTTATGTTTCTCGAATTGTCTGGATTGGGAAATATAAACTACTGGATTTCAGGTTGATAACCTAGATTTAACCCATTTGTCACAATACCTACAGTTTTTGAGTTCATTTCCTTATGAGATGGTAAGTGTTTACTGGTAAGATGTTCTAAACTGGTAGTTATTAGTTCCCCAGTTAATGATTCCATAAATATATATATGGAATTTTTATTTATTTATTGTTCAACTATTATACGGAAACGAATGTTTGTAAAAACCTAATTTGACTAGGTGTTAATTCTAAAGTGATTAAGTAAAATTAATCTCTATAGCAACAACACTAAATGTTTATTTGTAAGTAGATGATAAGTTGTAACGTCTGGTTAGGTTATTACATATTCATTTGTTCCGGGATTTTTATAACATAAATTATTGAAAGTCACAAAGAGTTCTGAATAGGTATTGTATTTTATTATATCCTAGAGAAGATTAAATTATGGGTAACTGAGAGCTATTTATGGACTAATATTATACATATATTCTTATTGTATAAATGTTAGGAAGTTAAACTATGTATGTGTTTATATTCCTCTGATTATAAGCTTTTATTTGACCTATCGGTTTATGTTATATGATTTACTATTCTCAATTCATTAGTCTTAGTCTCTCACAATCACAGCCACTTTTCTCGCCAGACCTTCGACAAATGTTATTTTCTATTTTATGGTATGATGTGGTCTGATTTTGCATGTATATAAAACAAGTATGTTTGAAATATATGATTGGATATAACGGAGGGTGATATTTGTGTTAGGGACTGAATCGACTGGGTTAGACGAGAAGTAGTTATCTCAAGGATCAATTTGAACCCTAGGCTTCTCGTACTGGTTTATGCGTCATTGATCCGGTCAATAAGTTGGTGATTCTAAATGGCGATCTGTTAACAGGGCACAAGGATCACAAGCTATAACATATTCACCTGAGACTCATTATCGATTTCTAAACACTACATCAAGTTGATCGAAGTTATTTATTTACTTATTTATTTATTTTAACACATAGATATCGGTACAAGAAGGCACCGAATACATATGCGCTACACAGATCTCATTCGATATATGTGAGGGCTGTGATACTGCCCGAGTGCCCAAACCGAAGCAGGTGGTTTTCTTAGGGGACCACACCCCGAGCCTTTGACCTAAAGGTCTAGTCCACAAGGCAGTGGAGCATCGTAAGGAGATGCAGTCCCATGGTAGCCGGTGACCAACGATTGGTTCATACGCCATTTGTCCCCTCAGGATACTGGAGCCCATGTGCACCATTGGTTTGGATCCGGTTATAGCGCCGGACATGCGCTTTTCGTCCTCTCATTTTCGTAAACAACAGTAGTGCCACGAGAAGACAGTGAGTATATATATATATATATATATATATATATATATATATATATATATATATATATATATATATATATATATATATATATATATATACATCCGACAATATTGGGGATACTATCAATACAATTGGTTACACATATGTACAATCATTCAATTCAATTACACGGTTATCATAGATTTCCCATAAAACTACACACAACTTGTACAAGTATGTATGACAGAGAAAGTACAACAACGTAGTAAACATAGATTTCAAATGAATTTTTAAAAAAACACCCATCTCACCAATCATACCTGAAATCATGGTCAATAAATTATGATCTAAATCTATGACAAACCTAAACCTTATTAACTTTATCACCACATCGTTAATATCAAAACAGTCTAGACAACCAAGTTACATTAGCTGTGATTCATGTCAACTTATGATTATTATAAACTCCGAAAGTATATCGAGTTCCATTAAATCAATCCTCATATTTTATAGAAGTACAAGTGCATAAGTTTTCGTAATAGACTTATTAATATAAAGAATAAATTAAAAGAACACTTAATCTTACAGTATGTCCGGCATATTAACTCAACGATGTCTTCAGCATCGTCAGAGTTGTATAGATCAGAATAATAATAGTAAATTGAAGCTTCACGTGTCATAAATGCACTCATAATTCACAAGTTTTGACAAGAAGGCAATTTAGATTCTTTTATGTTTTTTGGTCGTCTGAGTCTGAAACTGATGTGCAAGCTTCTTATATGCGAGTCCAGCTAGCTGCTTGAGTGATAAAATCAACAGTCAACAGGAAGCTTTTATCGGTTTAACAGATTCAAGCATATATGAGCAACTCACCTATAAAACCAGACACTAATTTTAACCAATAGTGCGTCTATGTCCTCGGAAGGTTAAGCTGGATTTTCATTAACAGCCTGAACTAACCAGCATCTCTCACTTACTACTCGGTCTTTGTCTACTCGGCCGAGTGTTTGAAACTCATTATTCGCATGTTCTGGTTGACAAATTACTCATATTTAATTGACAAACACATCATATGATTATTTATGGAAAACGTGATAAATTTAAGCTTTTCATCTTACTTACAAAGTTTGATTTGAAAATACGTTCGTGTTGCACAGAATTTCAAATTCGGAAAGTGGAATTTCTTTTCCTTCGTAAAGTATAGAAGCTGTACCAGTTCTGAGAAGCATTTTACCTGGTATTAAATGTTCACCCTTTTTGCCACGAATCACACAAATGCCAGAATCTACTTGAAGTGCATTTGGTGGTGGAGGTGATCCAGTTGTAGAAGGTAACCAAGACAGATGAGCTTCTTTGGCATTATGTACAGTATCCATTCTAAAACCGAATGAATAATTATGATGCTTAATAATAGCATGTTAAATTCACAGAACTGGATACATATTTTGAAATATAATATTTGGCAGTGCATATGATTATCAAATTCATTACTACAATCCTGTTGGTTAATTTGCGCTAAGTTGTGTGATTGATTCGAATGCCTCATATGTGACTCCATATAATATCAATTCATTCTGTTGGTTATCCATCTAGTTAGTTATCTATCAGTTTCTTAATCATATTTCAGTATTATACTGATCTATAGATATTTAAGGCACATTGACTAATTCACACTTTGGACAGTTTGAATTAATTTTAATACAATGCAAATTAAACTAGTCTAATGCAATCCTGAAATTATTTCATTATAATACAACTAGTAGGTATTCTGTTGCCAGTATTATTTTTATTCTAATACAATTTGTGGTGATTCTAGTGTCAGTGTCGATGTAAATCCAATTCAATTACAATTAAGTTTAATTCTGGGTTCATTCTGAAAAGAGTGCACATCAATAGGGGAGAGGATTGATAAAGGCGAGGATCAAAGAGGGGATAACATTTTCAAGGGTTCGATACTTGATTTGTTTATTGTCTGTCCCTTCACCTAGACGGCCAATCAAAAAATATAGTTATTTAAATGATCAGTGAAGAGTCTACTTTCAATAAGCACTGTGATTCGTCGGATTCAGCAACCATTCATTATTTTTATTAGTCCAATCATGTTATCTCATACATCTATTTCGAACAGTGTAGTTGAAAATCTAGTTTGCTTGCTTCACAATTAGTATGGTTCTACAATAGTGAGGTTTAAACAATGTATCTTTTCTTTTACTGTTGAATATCACTTTTATCTGATATTCATAACCTACTCATGTTATGCGACTGACCCATATCTGTGTAAGTGAATAAGAATTAACTGACAGTACAGGCTATTCCAGACTAAAAGTGACGATTTGTTAAGAATAAACCATAATATTGTAATTGTTGTATTTTTATACGATAGGACAATCGTCTTTCCAGTGAACTTGATTTCCCATCATAGCATTTAATAGTCATTTCAATGGTTGAGATCATGTATCAATTAAAGCTAGACCACCATGGAAAACCTGGAAGCATTGGACGGCCATTTCGTCCTATTTAATAGTTAGTTAAATATAAGTAAAGATTAAAAGATCTTACAGAAACTATGAATTTTTGCAAAATGATTTATCACCACTGTTCTGTTCTTAATAAAAACACTTATATATTAATATCTGATAACTTTCCTAATTATGAATGAAAATATGAATATTTTATCAAACATATGATTAGTGTAATTCGAATAGTCTGCGCTGTCATATGAATAGATACCCTTATTCTGGTATTATTCCAAAACTGTTATTACTTCATTTAAGCTACATTCATTCAGTCATATTATAATTTGTTCATTACTACTACACATGACGATTTATTAAATCGCTTGAATCTATACTCACGGAAGTCTGTATTCGAGGTCTTATTTAATTCAATTATATACGTCATCGAGTCAAAGATAACATACATAACAATAATCTCTATTAGAAATACACTTTAAGTTGTTTTACTTTTTAGATGTTTTGATGGTTGAAAAATAATTCAATTCTGTTTCGTCTTGTGGTCTGTTACTTATCACGTGATAATATTGCTAATCAGAACAGGACTTATACAATCTTAGCATTGTGCAAAACCAATGATGTATCGACCGGTACGAGAAGCCTAGAGTCCTTATTGGCCCTTCTTGCCTATGCCTTGCCTGTTCAGTTCAGAACACCAATATCAGCTTCCAATATATGAATCATATATTTCAGACATGGTTTATATGCAAGTAAACCAGATCACATCATGCCATAAAATAGAACATAATATTTGTACAAGATCAAGCCCAAAAGTGGCTGTAATTGTGAGAGACTGTAACTAATAAATTGGGAATAACTTAAGAATAGTAAGTTGTATGATAGTAGTCAATAGGTCAAATAAAAGCTCATGATAAAAGGGATATAAATAATTATAATTTAGTTTCTTAACAGTTATACAATGAGAATATATAAATAATAACATTCCATAAAGCTTGGCACTCAGGTCAATCAGCGATCAACAAACACATTGAAATCGATCCACTTTATCAAACAGTAAAAAAAATTATGGACAAATGTCGGGCCAAGAATCAAATCAATGGGAGATACAATTAAAATAAAGAAGTAAACAGAGACAGGTTAAATGTCAACAATAACCAATCAAGACAGAGGTCTACAGGATAAGCTGGGAGTGACATGTGAAGAAATTCGAACATTTCACTTCTACTTAAAGATTGCACTGATGATGTTATTCAGAAGAACGATGAAAGCTCCACAACCAAACCATCCAGCTCAGAGAACAAAACTCTACCAAAGTCGATAAATAGTTCCCAGAAGTTACCGTAGTTTAATCTTTCTTAGGATGTAACAAATTCAAGACTTATTTGTTAGGACGTCTGGGTTTATTCCAAATCTGCATTAGCATACATTCAAGCGCCAGAGTTTCATTAAGATTTCCAGGGTAGATAAACGGCGACTACGATCACTACCATGAAAATCCGCATAGATGAACTTTCCAACAATTTCCGTGGGGTCATCACTAAGTAGGGATTCATTCATTGCTTCAAATCCAGTAGAACTACTTTACACATTTCTGATGCAGACCTAGTCTCTTTCTACACTTACGAAGAATGATGGCCTATTTTTGTGTTGACCGAACAACTTTATTATCTGCAAAAAGATTTAGATGATTGTCCGCATCATCGAAATTAAAACTAATAATTTCCTATTGATAACCCAACAATCTATTTTCGTCGTAATTACCAGTACCAGCTCATTCATGGTCAATTTTTAGACTGATCAAATGAGGTTAAATATAAACCACACTTAGGTCATTATTTAGGCTTTCGAGTGCTTCCAGATTTTCAGCGATTGTCTAACTTTGATTAGTTCGTGATATCAATGGAAATCAACAATCTACACAATCAAATATGAACAAATAAACTTTGTTGAAATTAAGTGTCTACGAAATCGAGAGGACGAAAAGCGAATGTTCAGCGCTTTAACCGGGTTGGTGGAAACGGAGAGTTCACCTAGATGAGTTGGAAAACCCTGACTCTAAACCGATGGTGCACACGGGTTCCAGGATCCTGAAGGAACAAATGGCGCATGAAACAATCGTTGGTTGCCAGTTACCATGGGAATGCATCTCTCTTAAGGATAAAGGCTCCGGGTATAGCTCCAAAAGAAAACCACCTGCTTTGCTTCGGGCATCCGGGCAGTATCACAGCCCACACATAAGTCAAGTAACTTGTGTATTGCATATGTATTCGGTGCTCCTTTGCACCAATATTTATGTCTTCAAATAAATAATAAATAAATAAAGTGCAAGAGGATTTTTGCAACGGTTTATATGTTACACTCCAGCTGTAATATGACAGAAAACGGTAATGCTTATAACTGCACAAGACCCGTTATTGGTTAAACTTTTTATCAAGTAAGAGGTGTTACATACGTTCCGATTACAAGCTGGAAGATTGAAAGATAACTAATCTGTCTATCCTAAATTCTCTGACTACATAGGCAAATCAATTAGACTTGTGTTTTGTAAATGGACTCATCTTGAGATTCATGGAGAAAATACGTTGTCTGAAGGCAAACAATCACAAACAAATCGATCACATATATACATAGTGTCAGAGATACTAATCTACCCAGAACTCATGGTGACACAAGTGGGTTAACACACATATCCCAGTCTCATCACGTGTAGAATAAATTCCACAAATAGACAAATAAAATGTGTAGTTATGTACTGAATGAAATGAACAATCTATTACAACTACAAATATCCGTTGTTGATGTATGCCAATAGAACCGATATCTCACTACGAGACCTGAACGCTTGTCCTATAAAATCACTCAATAAATGTTTAAACATGTCATTTCCATATTGACTCTCAAATTGCCATGACAATAATAAACATAGAGAGAAAAATGTAGACAACGTACATGAACAGAAGTGGTTTAGTGAAGGAGAGAACGACCAAGTATGTCCACACACGTTGGATGATTTGTTGATAGAAAACAACTTGACCTATTTTATTCTTCTGTTATACACAATTACATTGGACATAGTGGACGACCAATCAATGAACTTATATGTATCATCCATCTCAGACAGATTCTGTCAATACAGCCACATTCAAACTGTGACCTAGTACAGATAAACCAATCAGAGTGTGATGATGAGAATGCAAGGTAATATACTTTTCTGATGCTGTTGTTGTTGTTGTCGAATTGTGATTAATGTATGTTCTAGTTATTTGTGATCGATATGTTTACCAAGCATTGGTTATTGGTCTCGTGTAGGATATATGGTGGCGGTGTTTATCGATTGAACGTGACAATGTGAGAGCAGATTGGATCTAGTGGAATTTGCCATCTACATAATCAGAGATTGTATGCATGAACCAAGTGTGATGTGTGTGTGTGTGTACGTCGAGATGAATAATTTCATTTTGAATCGAAAAGCTCTTGAATAAGTGGATTCATGCAAGCGTTCATGTGTCGAATTTGTCTTGATAAATTTGAGTGAATTGATGAGGAGTTATTAAATTCACTTGGTGTTGTTTTCTTGTATCTTCCCATTGTTACTTACGACTGCGATCGATCAATCTCTTATTGGCATCTGTTCATCCTGTGCGGACTACCTCGATATTGTCTCAGGTCACAAGCTTTATAAACAATGATGAATAGTGGACGGAACGCGCGTCCCGGATTCTACTGCTAGTCACTATCCACCTCCCCTTGGTAGAGTTAGTTTTAAAAAAGAGGATATTAACTGTTTTTCGTCTGTGCCACTGAGTATCATGTACAAGATATGAATGTGTCGTTTCTTCACAGAGTATATCAATAACCGAATTGAATGAAGATAATTATGAATAGGAGATTCTGTGTTAGTCTAAATGTTGAGGAGGAGCAACGCGAAATCCAAGTCAAAATAGGTCTGATTGTATCGAAGTTACGCCATTTAAGTCAAAATGGTTCTGAGTGAGACATCATCATGAGTACTTGTGTGCCTGATAGTGAGTGTGAAATATGTGAAATTTATAATATGAAGGAATTCTATTCTTTTCACACACCCTTAACACACATACGTATTCTATTTCACATCTACTCCACATCACAAATTTCGTACTTGTCACACTCACTATCATCTACACAAATACTCACTAAATATTCTACTTTGTTCTCCTTTACCAATTAGACTAACTCGGAATCTCTTATTCAAAATTGTATCCATTCAGTTATTGATCGGTTATTGATCTAGTCTGTGAAGAAGAGACTTTCAAAATTAGTCGTGAATAGTCAAAATTCTAATATCACATCACTATACGAGGAAGAGATGTCCTATTAACTATCTACTGTGATACTGATCGCTTAATTATTTAATGTATCAGTTAGGTCTGATTGAGACTGTAGCATTCCCTGTGTACTTTCATTACTCTTCGTCTTTTATTCCTTTCCTGCGAGAACAGATCCTGCAACAGGATCTGTACTTCTCATTTGAATGCTTTTTATGCTGAAAGGCACTCACGTGATGTTGCATTACTCGATGCTGATTGAGGACCACATTTTCAAACAATACTCTATCTGTTAAAGTTTGATTGATCACTGAGTACTGACCAATATTTTGTATGTCTTTCATATCCTTCTTATTTATGATCGAATTCTATCGATCGAATTTTAATATGGACTCGATATAGCGTGCATTGTGTTAAGATGTAATTTGGTGGTTGGAGATAGTCGATAGGATGTTCCAGTTGGCCTAGATTTCATGTTATTTGGCGACAAAGTGGATACTTCGAATGACTAGTGGTTGTTTGATATAGGCAAACATGTGAGTGATGACATGCAATGATGTCCAAACTGAACGAATAGTACTGGTATTTGCGTGAGATGATTTTGTTTGGTAAATTTTGGAATCTAGTCAATGAAGAGGATACAAGAAGAACGGCTGTTCTTTGTATTTGTTCCGCTTTTTGAATACAATCGAGTAGATAAACAATGAAGATAGAATAACTTCTTGCACAACAATTCAGTATTGAGGAGTGATCGATATCGGGACTAGTAATTTCACGGTTCCTAACGAGTCTTGTGAATTTAGGTGTAACATGAAACATAACAAATAGCTCGACAAAACGTTACCATGTATTTGATTTAATGGTTGAAGATATTCATGTTTACTGTTGTTCGTGTGCATGGCTGACACGTTAAATGGTTGAGAGTCGAATTTACTTACACCTTCCAATCCCGGTCACATGACTTCACCATCGGAAATGTCACAAATACGTTATTCAGTAAACAATTGGCTATTGATATATTTAAATAATCCAGTAAGTATAAAGTGATATCATGCAACCTCCTAGTTCATAATACTGACTGAGTGCTCTCGATCATGCTCCGAATAGACTATTCTCTGTTATGCGTCTCAACTACTTGATAAGAGTTCGATATTGAACTGATTCACTTATATCACTCTATTATTTTCCATTCAGATATTACCTTGTTGCATTCTTGGTTTAAAAACTCAAGTTCTACATTAATGATCTCCACAATTATTGTTCACAATATTGTTTTACTCCCAAATATTTAAATGAACTTCACTTGATGATATATTTGAACAAGTTGTCAACTGTGAATCGTAGCAGTTGAATCAGATTTCTATGTCACGCACACTCACAATTCATTGATTTTACTAATCCAGAGTGTTGATTGATTTAGTACAATCATATTGATCAATGATATGAATATTTCACTTGAAATATGTGACCTTGACTGATTGTTTGTTTTCACTTTGTGGTTTATTTTAGCAATAGACTAATGATAAAACTGAACAAATCGGATTCATCAATAATGTTGTAGACTAGAAATATTCACAGATATTCTATGCTGAGTTAGTAAACTGTCAAGGTATTTCTATATCATTAACATATTTGTGTATGTTGATTGAGGTTAACTATCGTGTTCAATGATCACCAAATTACGCTTTCATCTCTCATTTCACGATGACTGAACATTTAATGTGTGTTCTTCAAATACGCATGATCACTGGATAGAACAACTATTCAATACAAACCTGAATACGATCATTTGAACAACTGATGAATACAGTGATTATCCATATTCGAATGGAATAATCTTGTGTTTAATCTTAGTAGTTGAGACCGTGAGTCAATCGTAGCTAGATCACGATGGAAAACGTAGAAGCACTGGACGGCTTTTTCGGTCGGCTGTGGGAGTCCTCAGCAGTGTGCATGTGCCATCCCAAATCTCGAGATTCTAATCCAGGACGTATCGATCTTGTGCGTGATCGCTTAGCACCTAGATCACTGAGCCTTCCAGGTTTTCCATGGTGGTCTAGCTTCGATTCACTCATGATCTCAACTATTGGGTTTACTATAATATCCAGAAAAGCCCGTTCTGATATTAATCTTGTTTGTGGTTTATTCTTGAAGCTATATGACATGTCGCCAGTCACTAACAATCGAATGGATTTCGTGAGACGATTTTGAACAGTAAAGAAATATGGCAGTATGGAATCTCCTTCAGTCATGCATCTGTTCAATGTTTCGATTTCAGGTTTACGAGGTTCATTGGAGATTGCCACCCAACCATATCAGTTTTTCTTGTGAGCAACAAAATACAGTGAGAATCAACATGATTCCGATTTTCATTGAACAGAGTAGAAGTGGCTTCTACAACTAACTCGACTCACCAAATTTGTATAACGAAGCAACAGTAGTGTGAATGAGCTGAGGAGACACAAGGTGGAAATGGACTAACCACTCATATAAATTGTATGTATCCACATATTGACGATCTATTGTTTATTACACACGATTTATTAGTAATATGGTTCACAAACCATATCTTCTTACACAGTCAGTTGGATTTGTCTATCGAAATGAATTAATGAAATGTTGAGTATGTGTATTGGTGAGTGAGTCAACATGTGTATTTGGTGTGAAATTTGACAACGTGATGTGATGTGCTGTCGTTGGAATGGATGTACAATAGAAGTGGTTCGGTTGATTGGAGAAAACATTATTTTGTAGGATAACTAGACGACAATCAAAACCACGAAGCAACCTACCAGGTGTATTATACCATATGTAATGATATGATTGTAAATGATGAATATGATTTGAAATTTTATAATGTTGATGTCGAACTACAGAAATTCAACTTGTGATCACCGTTCTTCTGACAAGTCAAGAAAAGACTAGATGAGTAGTCACTACCACTGCGAAAATCGGTTACTGATGATATGGTAATCTCGTTGAAGAGAAATGAATAAATATGTCACAGTTGTCTAGTGAAAGTACCTATTTGAACTGATTTGAATCAGTGCGAAACGTGGAAGTGTGTTTGAGTGTGCATTGATATGTAAAATTGAGAAATCACTTGAAATACTGTTTTCCTCTCATATTTAATCGCTTTATTCTTAGTTATTTGCCCATGTTAAAATTCTTGATTTACTAAGTGATTATTATACTACTTGAATATTGTCAGTAGGTAAATTATGCAATCGACGACATATCCAAATTAATATTCTTATGGATTGACTTCACATAATAAAATGCCACAAAATACCATGAAGTTCGTATTCCATTTCTAAAATAGGTTCTGAGTTTCAACTTCATTTGTTTCCTTTTTAAATTATTCTTTCAAAATAAAATTTGCTGATGAAGATGAGATTGAATGAAAGGATATTTACTTTTGTATTCAGTATGAATAACGTAGTGTTCGATTAACGGGAGCAGTAACGAACGTGTACTTTGGTATTTTACTTACTTTTTGAACGGTTTGCCATTATAAAGCTCTAATTTTGAGTTACTGTCTATCAAAATATCTGTTGATTTAAAACGATGACTTTTGAAATCGAAAATTGATAATAATTGAAGCATGTAACGAAAAATTTCAGTGTCTATTTCAATGAAGTTAAAAACTAGAATGAAACAGCTCTTTCGTACTTCCTGAATGCCCCTTAAGTTCCTTATCTAACCTTTCTCTTCTTATGATCAATCCAATATCACCATGTGTTATAGAGTTGATTCTAATAACTTTTTTCTCGAAATTTCTACACCTCAATATCATTATGAATTTCGCAGGGTAGCTATTTTATGTAATCTACTTTTGTTTATGTTGATTGCCTTCTCTCGTACAACACTGTGTATACTAGAAAATATACAAGCGGTCCTGATTTCTCCATCAGTTTGTATCATATTTCAATGCTCTTCTATAGTCTAAGTGTCGTTGTTCATAAATCATCCGGTTTATTTATTCCCCTAGGATCCATCTTGCATAAGAAAAATCTCCAAATCACCGTTACTGAGATTCGAAACGAAACAACAAATAACATAACATGCTGAGAGAATTACTATCTATTATATCTAGAGCTTAGATTCTTGATATTCCGTGTGAAAATGAGAAGACAGGATACAAGTGGAAGGAATGCTATTCCAATCAGTGCCAAATATGGTACAAATCCGTCAGGTATTTATAGTTTTTAGTAAAAACGAAATGATCATTATAATCATTCATTCTGTACACAGGGTTTTTTAGCATTTATTCAATAGGGGAGCTACATGTAGAGATCCTGGAATATTTTTCCGGAAGATAATTGGATGAAATATCTTCGGCTCTTTCGAGCTTCTTAGAGAATCCTCGAGTTTACCTGTGGGCCGTCCTCACATCATCCAAGCGTGGAATTAATTTATGCAAAAACTATTGTCAAGTCCTTGATTGAAAATTTTGGATCGTTAGCTTATGTGTTCTCTTTTCTTCGACTTCTTAACCTTCTGCCACCAGGGATTTCACTTTCCATTGGTGATACATACTACTTATATCTGTTGACATCGCTGACACAAACCACATTACATCTCACTGGTTGTTTTGAAAGTTTTTGCACGAACATTGTTTCTCATTGTGGGAACATGATTTGTTAGTACTCATATTCATACACTTAAGTAACCACGGACATGAATTCCATTAAGAAAATGGAAACATTCTAGTTAGAAGAAATTCTAAAAAGTGACAGAATTTCAAGAATCATGACATTGAAATCGGTAGGTGATTTGTAGACTGACTCCTGTATATCCAGTCTACCAACCCATCCATAAATGGTCATTCGATTAAATTGTTAGACGTCAATCAATGAAGACAGTCAACAAGAATATAAGGACGAATAAAAACAACCAATCACAAACCGAAATCATCATGCTTAACTTAGTGTGTTTTGATAAAAAGACGAAAAGAGCGAAGAAATATTTTGAAAACTAGTTTGTCATAGTATCTCTACACTAATATATAATGAACAATAATCATAATAAGTTATACCAACCAGGTGGTGGGGTATGAAATAATTGTAAAGCCCTTCCCGTGTAAAGTATTCGCTGATGATATAGTTTACCAGGGTAATGGTATATTTGCGATCCAACTATCCACCTTAGTAAAACGCAGATACCACTGAGATTCTCTATCTTTGATGACACCAACTTCAAAAATTAAAAAGTGAGCAATAAATATATTTTGGAAAGTCTTGATGATACGGGTATACAGAAATCTTAAAAAAAGCCAATCAGTTACGTACTAAAGAGAGCATGATAACATACAAAAGCTTTGCTGGATAGAATAACGATTTATTTTGACATTTCCATCTTAAAAAGTGCTAATATAAATCACCAATTTTTTTGTAATCCATAGAATTGTGGTGTATGCTACTTATATCTGTCGACATAAGCAATATGTAACACCGATCGGATGTGGAAAGCCTTGCAGCAGAAGGTTGCAAAGATCAAACTGAAAAGAATTGGAATGTAAACTGAAAGTAATAGTAATGAAGGAGCGGTGAAGTTTGAGACAAGTGATAGAAGATTTATAAATGAAGTATTTAATGTATGGTTTTCACATTTTACCAAAGAATTCTATAATTTTGCACTACAGGATAAATTGGTCTTCCCAACTTTAGTGTTCGTGCATTAAGGAATTAACTGTTTTTGTAGACCCGTAGGCAGATTTCTGTTAGATCATTATCAGGGTTCCGGAACGAACATCATCTCTGTGATGCAGTTACATCCAACTGACGAGTTCAACATGGAGAAAAACTCTCGTCCTAGATTCTACTGCTAGCCACCATTCGTTTCTGCTTATAATGCTTGTGACTTAAAGCAAAATTTCAACGATAAACCAGCAATCCTGATGAAAGTAATGCTATCAAAACCAGTCCACTCAACTAGATGTTTACTATTGTCTATAATTTTATTTGATTTTATAATTTCTCAGTTAGTAATATGTAAATCTTGACAGAATTTTAAAACAGATTTATAGAATTTTACATTTGCGTGTAATCTTTGAAATGATGTTGAAAAAATGTCTGTTTTATCTAAGGTATAGCACGAAGCAAGTGATAACCTGGAATCCTGAAGGGAAGCGGAAAAGAGAAAGGCCAAAGAACACACTACGTCTGGAATTGGAAGCAGACATGAAAAGAATGAATAGAAACTAGAAACAAGTGGAAATGATTGCCCCAGGACTTCTCCAGGAGGGTTAACAGACGTAAGTAAGTAACTAACTAATATTCTTCACAAGTTATCATTGTATGTGATGTTAACGTGAAAGGTTTTAAACATACAAAAAACAATTACTTTTAAGTGAGAATTTCAGTAGCTATTGTTTCAAAGTGCTACATGAGCCTCGAATTTGTTATGTACATGTCGGATCTATTGTATCCGTGGTCCTACTGCTTATACTTAGAAAAACAAACCACTGTAATTCCCGCAGCGTGAAGTCACCACACAAAAGACTGGTACAAATGAAGATGTATTGACTCGCTAAAATTACGTCCCCAAAACAAGTTGTCCATAATCACATTATTAAACCAAATACACTCATATATATTCTGATTTTACGCACACTTGATGACTAATTAATAAACATTAAATACATGAAAAGATACACAGGGTTACTGCAAAACACAACGTTCATACAAAATAATATAAAAGATATAATTGCCACACTGGGTTAATGTTCATACATATCATGCTGAATAGAATCAACACTTAATCGATACAGATATATTGACGTAAAATAATATTACACTGGAAGATATTAAACTAATGAAGTACTGATCAAAATGTTTTGCTAAGAATTAAACCGATATCAAATATCACATTGAGAATATAACTAACATCATTAAATATTACATCATATTAGGAAAAAAACATGAACTCACCTTCTTCTCTTAACTTATCATAAAATTATTATCAGTTATTACCAGAAAACATTTGAATCAATGAATATTTATAAACAAGATGTTAATCTATTTTATAACTCATACATCAAAATACTATAACTATGAACTACATTGATTATCATCAAATAGATCTTGGATTTGAATCTTACGAGGTGGAATCATGGATATACAATGCTGAGGAATTCCACAATACGACAAAACAGTCATCCAATGTAAGACATTAAAGAGGAAGAATGTATTTATAAAATCTCAGTGAAAGAATTTGAAGTAAATTCAACGTTTCGTCTGGCAATCTGGTCCAAGATTTTTCAAGGAAAATATAATCAAACAACAAAATTATCGAATATAAATAAGTACATGTTTCTCTGATTTACTGTATACTGAATAAGTTATCCAATCAACATGAAGTAGGTATTTACATAAGTGTGTAAGAGACATGTGGTGTGAAACGAAAAGTGTTAAGACAACAGATTATGTGTATATGTAAGTGATTTGAGAAGAAATTTCATTCAACTATATATTGTCTTCGGTCGGTGAATATTAAGAAAACATATCATTTTATATATGATATGAATCAAAAATGTCACAGCATGCATCAAATGAAGATAAATAAACAAGATGAGTAAACAGGATAAAAGACTGAATTCAAAGAGGAATGTATTTGTAATTGAAAGTTTGTGTTATTTTAATGTTCCAGTCAATTGTTCAACACACTAATGTGAAATACCTACTTCAAACAGTATTCATGTTGATCGGATAACTTATTCAGTATACAGTAAATCAGAGAAACATGTACTTATTTATATTCGATAATTTTGTTGTTTGATTATATTTTCCTTGAAAAATCTTGGACCAGATTGCCAGACGAAACGTTGAATTTACTTCAAATTCTTTCACTGAGATTTTATAAATACATTCTTCCTCTTTAATATCTCACATTAACTCGGCGCCAAAATATTGTGAAACTATTCGTTCAAATTTTAGACGAAAGTTCTTATTTAGTCATCTAATGTTTCCATGATTTTCCATGGTAGTCTAGTTTCAATTGACTCATGATTTCAACTATTAAAATTACTATAATATCCACACACACAAAAAAAACAACCTCTTCTGAAATAGTAATTACTATATTCAATTAAGTATTTCCCCCCCAAAAAAAATAAGTAAAACCATATTTCCATATTCTATTGAAATACAAATCATTTCAATATTGAACATTTAATGTAGAATCATTACAGTTATTATTCTGAAGTAAACAAGTTAAATAATAAATATAAGAAGAACATAATTTAAGTATTTGTAATTTTGATAAACGTCTATTAGATAAATGATTATTAGTTGGTAATAAACTATGTAATTTTTTAAATACTTTATTAAATTCTGCTACACGTTGACGTTCACGTGCTGCATGTGCATAACGATATTGTAATGAGGCACGTTTATAACGTTGATGTTCACGATAATATTCTTTTTTATAAATATTCAATTGATTTTCAGTTATATTACTAAGAGATAAAATATTAGTAGTAGTTTGTTGATCATGATGATGATTCAATGTTGGTATATGTTCTATTGTCATTGATTTGTTGTCTTTTTGAGTTGTCGTCGTTGTTGTTGTTGCTGCTGCTGCTTCTGGATTTGTTCTCTTTTTTCTTTTCAACATCATCATCATTGTAGTTAAATCTGATGTATTTGTTATAAATGATGAATAAAAATTATTACATAATGAATGTTTCATTGGATTAGATAGTACTGACTGATTAATATTCATTATGATAATGATAATAATAATAAAATTAATCAGTTTAATATTACTAAATGTATTTTATAGTATAATTAACAAATACTGTTTCATTAAAACAAAATTGTATATATACTCTTTTATTAAAATATTTTGATTGGTTGAAATAGGTTAATAGGCAAGCAACATTACCTAATGATACAATCCTGTATATATATTGAATAGAACAAGTATACAAATTAGTGAATAATAATAATAATAATAATAATAATAATAATAATAGTAACGAATGATACACTATTTATAAGTAAATAAGTAATGAATTGTGTTACATCAACTTTATATATCTGGTGCTTAATTAAATTAGCTATTATTATTATTATTATTGTAACAATAATTATTATTATTACTACTATTATTACTATTATTATTGTCATTATTATTATATTAATACTGTTATTATTATTAACAGTAATTGTTTAGGGAATTCCTTTTCTTCAAATTTATGTAGCCATAGGCTAAATAACTTTATATGAAATAAATCAACAAACTATTATTTGTGTCATATATTAAGTTTTAAAAAAAAATAATTGTGTTTAGTATTTCATCTAATATACAAATTGAGAAGATTCTATTGTGTGAATATTGTTTCTTTGATTTAACTTTAAGATTTCATGTATGAGTAACTAAAGACAACAAGGGTATTAATAATCAAAACTAAATCTCAGATAGAAGATTGTATAACAAATGACTTGAAACTTAAATAAGACAATCATTTATGAGACAGAAATGAAGTTAGATAAAGAATATCATGGATTACTGTTGAATAAACATTTTGTTCTAGTATGAGATTTTCTGACAGTGTACATTTAAAGCTCCTTATGAGATTGTTCCTAATAATATAAAAATCTTGTAGGCAGCATGAAACCTTGTAAAGATAATTGAAAACTTAATCTGTGAATAACTTTAAAATAGTCTCCTTGTTTAAAATTGTATTTATCATTCATGTTAGTAAGGCTTAATTTACTTGGGTTTCTCGGGAATACCACTCAGACTGGACGAAAACGTAATTAGTCTATCAAATCCACGACTGATTCCATAGATTTCCACTTACATCGTTTTTAATACGATTATCAGTCTTGAGTATTCTCCTTTGCTAGCCCCAATGACTTATGATAAGAATTTTAACATTTGCAGGATACTTGGGTTAATATCAAGAGCTTTTGCTGAGCTCATTGCTATGGAGTCAGTGATGAATCATTGAACTCAAGTCAAGTATTAGTGTGTTATTACATGTATTCGACCACACCCAGAACATCATTACATTGTGACACCCGTTATATCCGGACGACGAATAAGTGAATGGTAACTACTAGAATTTATTTATGGATTGCTATTATATATATTCTTATTGTATAACTGTTAATAAATTAAACTATGTATGTGTTTATATTCCTCTGATTATAAGCTTTTATTTGACCTATCGGTTTATGTTATATGATTTACTATTCTCAATTTATTAGTCTTAGTCTCTCACAATCACAGCCACTTTTCTCACCTGATCTTCGACAAATGTTATTTTCTATTTTATGGTATGATGTGGTCTGATTTTGCATGTATATAAAACAAGTATGTTTGAAATATATGATTGGATATAACGGAGGATGATATTTGTGTTAGGGACTGAATCGACTGGGTTAGACGAGAAGTAGTTATCTCAAGGACCAATTTGAACCCTAGGCTTCTCGTACTGGTTTATGCGTCATTGATCCGGTCAATAAGTTGGTGATTCTAAATGGCGATCTGTTAACGAAAAGGAATCTCTTGAAGTCAGTACAGAGCTGCGCCATAAAATTGGTCACGATCAAGGTTTAAACCTAATGGAGGCCGATTTCACTACCTGGGACAGCTTTCTTCAAGCTGTAGGAGAGTACTAGGCGACCTAGTGATGCCAGGTTTCATACTATTTTGTAAAATTGGTTCTCAACCACACTATCCTTGAAGCCGAACATAAGACAATTGATGAGGTTTACATTCGAGATTTAACACCATAGATAAGGTCAAAAACGGTGAATGCGAGAACATTTGATCAATATGTCACTGCTCGACCATGCACGCGCGCTCATTAATATATCATCTTATCGTATTACTATATGTTACATGTACTATATTGTTACATTATACCAAATATATCACTCTACCCCCACCCCAAATGTGTTCTTCAGAAGTGTCAAACATCACATTGCTGACTCTCGCGACAGGACAAGTTAGTATAGGCAATGATATGACCTCTACATAAAGTGCTATAAATTAGGTAGTCAAATTGTGACAAATCTATGATTTTAATAATACGTCCTTTTTCTGGTGGCAGAGATAAATGCACCTGATGCCGACCTAGACCACAATTCTACAAATATCCCAGGCCAACCAAATAAAAACATCCTGCCCGACCCTCACCACTTTATCTTACGAGGTAATCCATGACAAATAGCACATCAGGGAGTCAATAACCGTGTAATATCAAATTTCTTTTCACCAAGAGTCAGCTCTATCAGCTGACGCGTCCATGGCCCCCTTGGTAAATAGTCTTAGGTATTCCATCCTTTGTATGGAACAGATGTACCTGATAAATGTCTCTTACCTTCCACTAATATCACTGTTATTATTAACATTAATGTTGTTATTACTATTTTTTGTTATTATTACGGCCACTGCCATCAGCCCTTACCTTCCCTTCGCATTGTTTACTCATACTTTTACGTTATATGGTTGTGCTTGAAGCCTTCCCCTTGTTTCTCTAATCTCTAACTTTTACAACCTTTCATACTGCAACAAATTGATTTCCCGCTCAGCAATGTGGTAGGTGGTGGTTTTGGCAACCCTGATACCCCAGAACAAACTTATTCACTTCCATCCGAAGAGTATAAGCCCCTTATTGGCTGTCATATCCACTAGGATTAGTGCAACCATGTGGCTAGACTACCACCCCCGAATAATACCAAAGACCAGGAATCGTATCATAATATCAAGAAGTGATAACGACGAAATTTGATGGTTGGTACAAAACTCATCACATAGATATTGGACAGTAGCTAGGGTGGATAGTGGATAACTGACAGAAAGTTTGTTGGAGTATGAGTGACACACACATATACAGGCGCGAGTCATGTGATTAACATGGTCATATACGAAAAAGTACGTAGGTAGGTAGTGAAACGCGTGGTTGTTCCAGAATGATATATTTAATTGGCAGACAAAAACAAACTTTTTTGTGTTGTGAGAACACTTGCAAAAGTAGCACGCTTCGACGTGCAAGGAGATATGGAACATCGTTTCCTTTTAAACTTACCCAGAGCATCCTCTGCATTTTCAATCATATAATCGCAGTACGTATGTGCGTGGACGAAGATCATTCCATATAGACTCTTCATGTGATAATCACTGTGGTGTTTGAATGAACTAATGACTCCTTTGTACTTGTTGAATGTCTGATTTCGAATTCTAAATACAATACATTCGTTCATGCTTATGTAGTAGTTCTTGATCCAATTACGTGATTTCTGGGATTCTTAGTTCATACTATAATTCAACTACTCCTAATTATCATATTGGCGTTGCGATGGGGCCTGCGATGGAACAGTTAGATATTCATTCAACTTCTGAAGCTTTTGAGGATTATTTGGAAAGGTTTGAAATCTGGAGCATGACCAAGAAAGATGTTAAAGACGATAATATTGTGGCACATTTCTTGACATTCATCGGAAGAGAAGCGTACAGTTTATTAAAAACTTTGGCATATCCAGAAAAACCTATCTCACTTCCTTATGCTACTCTTAAGGAGCTATTAATAAATCATGTAAGGTGCACTAGTTTTGAATGCCGTGAAAGGGCGAAATTTCATAAGATGATCCGTCAAAATGACCAAAAGGTTAAGGAATTCATCCTTGAATTGCAAAAACAAGCTGCCAAATGTAATTTTGGTGATCAACTTCATGTGCAACTGAGAGATCGATTAATTGCAGGAATTAAGATACCGGGTTTGGAAAGAGAGCTGTTAAGAATGTCGAACTGTTTCTTTCAAGATGCTAGAACTGCGTGTATTAACTACGAGGCAGTGAATGAACTTGATATCCAGTCGATGAATATTTCTAATACTTTACTTAGTCGTCATGATGAAATACAATCTCAGGGTCAATCAAAATTGCATTCGTTTAACAGTGGCTTCTATTCTTGTGTAAATATGAAAGGTGTTTCAATAAGCAATTGCAAAGAAAATCACAAAGGTGAGTCTAAGTTTGGCAAATGTTTATCTTGTGGAAAACTTCATTCTCGTAATTCATGTGCATTTCGTAATGCTTAATGTTTTATATGTGGTAAGATAGGACACATTCAAACAGTATGCAATTTATTATTTATTTATTTATTAGAACACATAAATATTGGTACAGGGGGGCACCAAATATATATGCGCCACACAAAACAATGATAATTTGAAGAGAAGGAGAAAAGAGAAAAAAAAGTAAAGAACGTGGGGAATTATAAAAAAAGGAGAGAGAGAGAGAGAACAATGATGGGGAAAACGGAAAGGTACAATCAGAAGAGATCTTTCGGTTAAGGAACATACAACCACTTTTTATGAAGAAAGTAAAAGAAGGTTACAGCAGGATCGCCATTGGCTTCTATTCTGAGCCATATCTGATAACGTCTATAGCCACTGCGTTACACCATCTCTCGGAACCCAGCCAGGGAGTCGTGAAGGACCAACAGAAGCTAGCCCTTTGCAGCTTTCTTTCATACCACGACACCATGTCATATACTGACCACCTCTCCGCTTTTTCCAACCAGTCCCAGAGTCGGAAAATAATGCACCGCGTGGAATTCTCTGGGACGACATTCGTAGAACATGTCCAAGCCACCGAAGTCGATGTTTCAAGATGGTGACACCAATTGTATTATCGTCTCTGTGACCGAACACACGATGCCGAACCTCTGCATTA